CGTGGATACGCTGTGATAAGTAGGTTTGTATGTGAATGGGTGTCCAAGTGCGCCCCCCCCGGGAGAGCACACGCAGGTGTGCTCCTGGAACTCGCCTGAGGGTTGAGCGTCGTTCCTTGTTGTAGGTAGCGTGACCTGCTTGCCTGAGAGGCTGGCGCGTGGATTAACACATGATCATCTCTCTGCCGTTCCTGGGTAACATAGTCCCAAGTCTAAACACCACCGCTGAGGGCGGCTGCGCCAAAATTCTGACCCTGTGACAACGCTGGTGGCCATCACCAAGTCGTGACGTATCACCAAGCACGATGAATGGGAAATACTGATAGATGTATTTACTTGCTCACAAGCATCTTTCATGTGGTCATTCATTTCTCACAGCGTTGTCTCAAAGATCACACACAAGTATCTGTAATGTGGTCATTCATTTCTCACGGCGTTGTCTCAAAGATCACACACTAAAGTATCATGTCATCGTCAATTAGTCTAGTAGGCTGCAAACTTCCACGAGGTGACGACGCCATAGCAAAGATAGTTCATTGTCGTAGATCGAAACCGACTTTTATGGTGAAACGGGAGTAATAATAGATCTACGGTCGTTCGGCGTTCGAGGCGTGTTGGTTTGAACCTCTTTGTTCGCTTTTCTGGGGTCACAGAGAGGTGGGTCTCTTAGACAGTAGGTGCCCTCATTGCCTATCCCTAGCCGTTCCTGCAGCAAGCGTGCGGCGCACGTGTCCCGTCTGAACCAAGAGTGCAAGTGTCGAGGAACATATATAGGGAGCGAGGGGCCGTCCCCAAAAGAAAGATCGCATGCAATTCGGGCAGGTTCTTCTCAGTCGTTGAAGTCGGGCTAGCTTCCCGATCCGTTTCTTACACAGTTATCGCTGGGGGGCAGACCCTGAAACCACTTGCTCGCGTCGTTGCGATTTGAGATTTCTTCCATGCACGCACGCAGAACATGTAACACTTAAATATGGAATATATCTGTGCGTCAGTACGTTCGTGGCTGTCCATGTAGAAGACCTATCGGTATCCTTGTAAGTCGATTGGTACATGCGACTTATGCGGAGGAACTATTATTGCTGCTCGTGGTGCATCTCGACGTACGGTGATGGACATCATCCTTTCGCTGTGATCTCCCCGGATTGTATGGGTGTCGAAGTTGTCGTTGTCGTTTCCTGGAAACCCTATAGTCCACTTCCTTATTGCCTGGAGACTACAATGCAATCGTCCAGGTCAGATACGCGACACATTTACAACATTGCACTACAGTTAAGCTTGCTTCAGTGTATCTTCTTCAGCACTGATTGAGGTAATACGAGCGACAGTATGTGCGTAGGTTCGCATGTTTTCTTATTTTTTGTTTTTGCTTGTGCCGTCGTTCGCGTGATACTTGTCTCGCTCTTGCTTGTGGGCAGCAGCGGTTGAGTCTGTCGGCGGCTCTGACCTGGGTTACATTCCCCGCTTTGCACACCTGACTGTACGTCTCTCTCACACACGCAAGGTAGCTCCTCCTCACCGTCTACGTGTTCTGTCGCCCCGTAACGTCTCTCCGTCCGCGCACATATGTTTTTGGCGTTGATCCCCCCCCGCGACCCCCTCCGGCCCGCTCTGGCCCTAGCTGAACTTCTGCCCAAGCGTGTTTACCCTGGAGCCGGGGGAGTTCGTGCACATCAACAAGGGGCGTCTCCACGCCTTCCGGAAGGAGGACCCGCTGCCGCACGTGAGTGTCTACTGTAGTAGCGCCGTATTTAGGCGTGATTGTAGCGTGTCGGAGATGTTGGATTCTAAGTACATGATAGCCCCCGTGTAAAACGAAATGGTTCTTGATCCTGTCGGTTTTGTAAGGGTGGGCGGGTTGTGAGCGGCTTTGATGTATACAGCAGTAGGTTTTCCCGACAACCAAGACCGGGTTTTCTACGACTGGGTGACACCGCAAATCCCCCCCTCCGAAAACAGTTTCGACCACATCCCTTGACGCCTTTCGCCATATTTTTTGGCAGGGGGACGACCCCGGCTCCGTGTGTGTTTCCCTCGCTTGGGACTGGGTTGACCCAACCCTCCCCCCCTATGTCTCCCCTACCCCCCCCCGAGAATAGTTTCGACCGTTTCCTTCGCCGCATTTTCGCCGCATTCTTGTTGTTATGACAGGAGGACCCCGGCTCCGTGTGCGTGTCCGTGGCCTGGGATTGGGTGTACAAGGGGGTCTCACAAGAGGGGTGCAGGGGGGAGATGGCCTGCGCGCTACGGTCCGCGAGCGACAACCGGGGGGTTGGGGTCGTGTCCCTTGCTCCTGCTTTGTCTCGGCACGTGGTCGATGCGATGCCCATCTCTCTGTAGGCAAAGCAAACCACGAACAAGCCCACCCCCCTCTTGTATGTATTCGCCTCTTTCTCTCTCTCTCTCTCTCTCGCTCTCTCTCTCTCTCTCTCTCGCTCTCTCTCTCTCTTCCGAAGACCCCCTTGCACGTAGCGGCGTAAAAGAAGCCCACGGTATGGTCGGGCCTCTTCTGATGGCCGGCGCGGACCCCGGAATTCGGTTCGGGGAGCACGAGCTGTCGCCACTCGACTCGGCTGTTTCGGACGCATGGCGTTCTGAGAGCCCTTATCCTCCATGGGGTAGACGTCAACGCTGGCGGTTCCACCGGGTACACGGCGCTCCACACGGCGGCAGACAACAACCAAGGAGCCGCGGCTCGCGCGCTCGTGAAGGCCGGCGCCGACGTCGAGGCGCGAGACGTCCGGCAGAGGAGCCCTCTTCACAGTTGCCGCAAGGTGCAGCAGCGAATAGAGTCACCTTGTCGTCGGACACCTTTAAAAATCCTACTGGGTCTGTTTGCTTTTTTTTCGGTATCATTGAGCCACGGGAACGTTTCCCTAGTGCCTCCTTTCCTACAAGGCTGATAGGGCTGTATGTGCATCTCGGAAAATCTCTTGCGTTTTTTTGTTCTCATCGCCGTTCGCAGGCATAACAGCTGCCACGATGTCGTGCGCTCGCTTTTGAGATGTGGCGCCGACGTCGATGCCATGCCATCGAAATGTCTGGAGAGTGCCCGCTGCACATGGCGGCCAGGACCCAAGCTGATGGGCTAGTGGACCTCCCGCTGAGGTGTGGCGGGATTGATTGCCCAGGGCTAGTTTTGGCCAATTCGCCGTCCTACGACGCCAAGTGAAACACCCCGCGGTTATGAAGCAGGATGGAGGTGGGGACATCCAAAACCTGACGCTCGTTCCAAAACAAGGCTTACTTAAGTGCGTGTTGACGATGCCGACGTCGCTGTTGCCACTGTTTCTTTTCGTTCGTTGAACTCCTTCCGCACTTTTCCCCCAGATGGGGCGCCGACGAAATGAAGGCCAACCGCAACGGCGACGTTCCAGGTGTGTTTGGGTGTTTGCTCATAACCATCCACCCCCACTGTACGATATACTGTACGCCGCTGATTTGTGCTTGAAGTAGCACCATCGGACTGTTTGAGTAAGTCACATGTATTTGAGTAAGACACATGTATGCAGGCCATTTCGTGCAGTGCAATCCTTCTTAGTGATGTGCCCCAAACGAATGTTCGGCACTTCAGGAGAGGTGGTCAACGTTTCAATAGCGCGATTTTGCAGCGTTCTCAGCATGTACCACCCGGCCTGCTGATGGCGGACCTCCCGTATAGAGTCCGCCGAATCGCTGAATAACCCGATATGCCACTTTCTCCTTAGTACCTCTTGGATCACCGTTAGAAACACGTTCCAGTACCCTTGCTGCTAGAAACACGCTTCTTACCACGGCACACAGCCGATGCTGTCGGGACCAGCGTGGCGGACAACGAGCCAGTGCTCTCGGAAGGGCAGAGGAAAGAGAGAAAGGAGCATGTGATTCGCCTGCTGGCGAATGCTCACGTCGACAGGGCCTGGCGCCGCTGCGTGTGGCTTGTCATTTGCCGCAGCCGCTACCTCTCCAGCAAGATGCCGCGGGACATGGTGGATTGCCACCAAGGTGAAGGAGGCGAAGATCTGCTCAGGCGTGGGAGTCGCAGTAATGCGACCAAGAAGAGTAGCGATGGACGGAATCGTGCCACGAAGTTGATCCGTACGATGGCAGGAGGAGGAGGAGGAGCGGGAAGAGTTGGAAGGAGCCACCACAGTCGTGCCACCTCTCCACTGTTCGGGCAAGCCACTGGTGGCGGTGATGACAACGGCCGTGCCGCTGCTATCGCCGCTACCGCCAACACTCGAGCAAACGGGATCGGGATTAGAGGAGCCGCCAACTCAGGTGGCAACGATAGTGACAATGGTGGTGATGGTACCGACTGGATCGAAGCCCGCCGCAAGTCCTCTGGCGCTTGCTTTGCGCTACTGGCGCTGGCGGAAGTGGAGAACGGGTTGTTCCGTAAGGTTGTTGCATACATATGAACAACACACGTCCGCAATCTTAACTTGGCAACCAACCCCTGTGCTTGAAGCGTATACCCCACCCCCCTACGGCGTCCCTGGGGAATAGGGTCCGGGAGGATTGATGTGAGCGCCGGTGGACTGCCCAAGTAACTTCTTGTGTACATGGGTCTCTCCCAAATACAGCCCGCATATATCCACGTGCAGGTTTCTGTACCAAATGAAATAATACGGAAGAGGGAGCTCCGACTAGCGGTCAGATTTGTTCTCAACTGGTGGTCTGGTGGTTTCCTGGCAAATCTACTGGTAGCAGATTGCATTTCGATCGTCTCTCTCGAGTGAAAAATGTTTTTGCAATTGGCGGAAAACGATTGATTCGTAAGCATACAGACCCCGACATCACGATCGGCGAGGGAAAGGGGTAATTGAACCTTCTCTCGATGAAGGCTAAGGCAAGCACGGCAAGAGGCAACGTGGGGCATAAAAACATAAAAACAGTTTACACCATAGACAAAGTCCCCACATGGCCTTTCTGCTGCATGACCCCGGCTGATGAGTCAAACAACAAACAATACGACATCGAGAGGTATGTAGACTAGACCCAAAATATAGAACAAGCCGCCACATAATCACAACGATAGCACCCACAACAATTGCAACAGCGATAGGGTTCCTCTCGTGTGCGTTGTGCAAGTACGAGCGACGGAAAAATTCTGCGATGCTTTCAAGTTCCCGCACAAACACTCTCCATCATATATTTGTATACCCGTGAGCTGTGAGCGTATGGAGCACCTGGCCGTTTTCTGGGTACGTTTATGCAATGCAGAAGGGAGGTCGTTTCTCACAACCTTCGCTTCTCCTTTCTGTCTGGATCTTTCCGTCTGCCGGCTCCATCGTTCCTCAAACTCCTGTCCCCTAGCGCGTTTCTCGACCAGAACACGTCTTGTCAATGGGGGCACACAGAATGGATCAAACTGTCTACGTCGGGCTCCTAACTCGGCTTGGACAGGGCACGCTCGTGTTGAACAATTTTCTCATGCATATGCTTACGCCAAAAGTATCATCAGGAAAAACGATAGTCAATCGTATGCTAGCTTCCGACCCGCAACGGCATCAACTCAGCTTTCATTTCAACGATCGACCGTAACATCCACCGCCTACTACACACTCCGAATCGACAACCAGCATGTTTTTATACCACAACTTTGGTCGGCCTCAGCGCAAACGACATCGCGGCTATCGCCGTATCGTCCTCTCCACCCGCTTCCTCGGCATATCCCTGACAGCGCGTCAAGTGCAGCTCCTGGAGCACGACCGCCCCGCCCCCGGCCCCAAAACCGGCCCCCGCCCCCGCCTCCTCTGTCTCCTCTTTCCTCGCGTTCACGATTCTCGAAAGGAGTCCCGCGAGCGCCCCGCCCTTACCGAGGTCCCGGTTGTCCGCGAGGTTGAGCGCGGCCAAGCTCCGGCTTCCTCCGGCGACGGCCCTGCTGCGCCCGTCCTCCCCGGTCCGGACCGTCACCGCGCTCAGCGGGAGGCGCGTCTCGACCTTGGCGTCCTTCTTCTTCTTCATGGCGTCCGCGGCCAGCTTGTTCTGCGCCGCTATCTTGACGTCCGCGGCCGCCCGCTTCTCTTGCTCTTGGGGGAGGACCTCGTAGCCTCCTGCCAGCAACAGCCCGAAGGCCTCCGCGGAGGCAGGGGCCAGGGAATTTCTCGCAAGAGACAGGCCGCGCAGGACGGTGTTGACTCTCAGGATCGTCGCGAACGCGGAGGCTCTGCGTGGGCGTTTTGGGTTTTATGTTTCGGCACGCACACGCATGTGTGGGTGATGTTACTTGATGCGTGTTGCAAGCAAAAGTCGTGCACGACCATCGAGGTGTGGTTCAAGTCGCTATTGCATGAATTCGTGAGTGAGTGTAGTACGGTGTGCACTCGGCGGTTGGTGTAGAAACAGCCGCCACACAGAAGTGCACCAGAAAAAAAAAAATGGTGGTACGCTTTCAAGCGCCAGCAGAACGATGGCTTGGCAAGCATTTTCCGAGCTCTACCGTTGTATTGCTACATGGGACGTTTCTTACGGCAATCGACACCTTAGAAAGTCTCCAGACAACGGGAAGGTAAGACGACGGCCGTGTAGTTTTCACGAGCTAGGATTGTTCCGACTCCTGCATCCACACCCACCCGCTGTTCCGCTGTGCACACCAATCCACACAGACTTCCCTCGCTCCACGCCGTACCGTAAACAAAGCGGGTTTGTCTACGAGTTTCGGAGTTCACTCACCCGACGTCCGTGATTTTGTTGTCGAAGAGATTGAGGGAGCAAAGGACAGTGTTATCTTCTATGGCCTCAGCGAGGGCAATAGCCTCGGCGTCTTCGAGTGCGTTGCCTCTGAGGGATAGCGCCTTGAGCTTTGAGCCTGCGGACGTAGGATTCAAAGAGCACATATTTTGGCTGTGTGGTTTCAAGCGCAGGAGCGCCCGATGTACGGCGAAACAGGCTAAAGCTGTGCCACAGCACAAGTGTTACTGTAATCGTGTGAAGAATCAACGCGGTCTTCGTATCAATATTTCGAAAGCCTGGCAACGGATGGGTACAGAAATGCGCGTGTTCGTGAGTATTCTTGGAGCATTCAAGCTGGCGTCAAGTATCGCACCCTCTTAATAGAGCAAGCTGCTCCCTGCAACACAATCTCACACAAAAATGAGATCCTGAGCACTGGTCCCCACCTTCACTGACAAGGCCGGCAAAGTTTGTAGTCAACGATAAAGAACCCTCGGTCGCCGGTACCTCCGCCGCTGCAGGCTCAGCTGTTCCTGAGGAGGGTGGTCTCGTGGGCGGTGACGACGACGACAGTACCACCGGCGGGGTGTTGTAGTCCAGGGCGAGTGAGCGAACTGTTGTGTGTTGAAGGCCTTCTACGAGAACATCAACGGAAGCTCCCGTCAGGCCAGCGTTGTGAAAATTGACTGTGTCGACATCGGAGGATCTCTTGAGCGCCTCCATCATGAGGCGTACAGTCGTGAGATCCACCGTAAAGTTTCGGAGTTGGATAGTCGACGATGCTGTTTTCGAGGCTGCTGCTGCTGAGGCGTCTTGATTTGGGGTGTCTCCCGGCAGTCGTGACGCGAGGCATGGATGAGCTGGAACCTCGAAAAGTCTTGTTTGGCGAGAGGACAAGGGAGGCAAGGAAGGCATGGAAAAGCGCAAGAATCATACGAGTGAAGCTGTGGGGAAGTGCACTAAAACAGGACAACCTAAGGAGGAAATGTACACAGCCGGAAGACAAACAACACAACTGCTTGACAAGATTGACACGTGTATCTGGTGTATTTTGGTTACCCTTCTGCTCTATGTAGGAATGTTGTGTCTGGTTCCACGACGGTTGCTACAACAACGGTTAGGGTTGATGGCATCGCCGTGGTTAACACACCGACACAGAGCGGCGTAGTCAGCGTCGAAGTTTCCTGCGGGCCTCTGCCCATCCTTCGCGGCCCAGTCGAGGCACTCAGCCTTCTCGTCCATTGCAACGGCTTGCCAGGGGTCACTGTGTTTCATCTTTATTTGCACGGCAGAGGGCAACGTCTCCGCCTCCACCATTGGTACGGTCTGGGGTCGACCACGCTAACCAGTGTATGTGTGCATGCAGAGAGTAGAATAAGAAAATATGCATATCTCCACACAGCAGTCGGGTTCCCCACTTGAAGACGGGACACAAGCTCGTAGTTGAATACCCTACGTATGTGGTCGGCGGTTACGTCGAAATGTGTTGCGCCGCTTTAGAGAAGGAGCGAGGGTCATGTGGCGCAATGTCGCAATATCTCTTGCTTTGACGTCGCGTATATTCTCGACGAAAGGTTCCCTTGTAGCCGCGGTACGCGAGAGGGTGCGTAGCCGAGACAGGTGCGTAGCCGAGACACTATTCATAGCGTTTGTACGCGGCCTCGCAGTTGAAGATGGACAGAGTAGTGTGAGGTGTGAGGTGGTGAGCGTGGTGAGGTGGACACGGGTTTTCCACCACATTTCGTTCCCCCTCGGGAAAAACGCGGCGGAATTATTTTTTTCGCCTCGGCAACATGCAACATGCATGGATCATGTGCACACGGTTCTCTCCCTCTGAAAAATCATCTCCGCTTGCGTTGGCAGAAAAATGGGTGCTGTCGGTGATGGCAACGCTACGGGGAAGCGAGATGGTAAGGTGGATGTGCAAGAGCTTCTTGAGTTTATTTTTCCGAAGTCGCTGCAGCATCCACTATCGACAGGCAGGCTATACGCATTCGCCCTTTACGGCCCGCTGGACTCCAACTCGAAGCTACGCTCTGGATACAACGGGCAACGGGTTGTGAGCACGTGGGAGATCGATACAATGTGCCTTGAATTCGAGCGTGAGGATATCTTACAGGTGTGACGATCGCTGAGTGTCAAAACGTGTGCGCGCGTGTTCTTCATGAGGTTTGCATTACAACAGCAGCCGAATGAAGGTGCAATATGGTGTGTGTGGTTTCCATGAAGTCGAACTCTGCAGTATCTACGTACCTCGAATGGACGCGTTAAAGGAGTCTTGTTTGATACCTGAATCAAGGCGTACTCTCAACTTCGAAACGATACGAGAACCTGTTTGTGTACCCCCGTGACCACCCACGGAGGTTGCCGTGCCCACCCACGGTATGATATCTGTCTGGGGACTATGTTAACCCAGAGAACCGATGCAGATGATATATATCCTTGATTAACACGCACGTGCTCTTCCAGCACGGACTGAAGTCAGTACAGGTCCTGTTTCAGTGAACACAAGCGCGGGCTCTCACGAGGGGGCCCGCACTTGGACCCCCAACAGTATACCCCCCGCACACATGTTCTCTGCAGATCGGATCTTGTATCCAAGTACCCCAAACAGCCCCCCTGCTTGATACAATATACGATCTGGAAGTCCAAGGTGGATAATCTTCCAACCAATACAAAAACACAACTAACCACTCGAGAAACATCCTCTACAAAACTGGTTACGCATTTAACGCAAAGCGTCTCCATCAGTTCACCCATGATTAACCCAATGTATTCTCAAACCGTCAAAACAAAAGAATCATCCTCAGAAGAGTACCCAACAAATATCTGCGCTACATCAGAAAAGCGTCAGAACGGTGCCGGACAAATCTGGAAAAACAGCTTCAAAAGAGTTGACACAACATCTTCAAACAACACAAGTTTTAACTTCTTGACCAATGAAAACAAGCATTCGGAAAGCACAAAGGCCCCAACCACTACTCGTCAACACATGTCAAACCCTTCCTCCAATATTGCGTCCAAGGACCAAATCCTAAACAGCGCGTACATGCTATCGGTCCCTCAGCTGTTGTCCAAGAGACGATAGAAATATAAGCAAATATCCATGCAAACAGCCCCCCTGCCGCAACATTTCCCGAAACATGTAAATTTTGTGCCACCCTTCTCTCAATACCAATATCAATACGTAACAGCCCCCCAGCTGAAACATTTCCCCGAAACATACATACAGATCTCTGCCTTCGTTTTCTTCCCCTCCTATTCGACCATCGGAAGATCTCAAAACATCAAAGGTGCATGACACAGCCCCCCAGCTGAAACACGCCCTGCAAACACAAGAAAAACATATACGCATTCGCTAGTGTTGCGTCTGGAATCATGACAACACCTGTCCTCCCCCCAAATTCTCGACGAAAAACACAGCTTAGGAAACGCGTCCACAAAGAAAAAAAATACTTGCTGAATATTCATCACAAAATCACGGTGGAAGCAAAACGCGCTCTTGTGCAACGGTTTCGTGAGAAAGTCCGCATGCTGAAAAGTCGTGGACACGTACACAATTTTAAACTCTCCCCGTGTCTCCCCCACCCCCCCCGGTGTTTGCCATCGGGTTTGGGTTTTCGTCGCTTGGCAACGACGTTGCAAAACAAGCCGCCCCCCCCGGT